ATGACCCCAAACATACAGCCAATGTCATTAAGAACTATCTTCAGCGTAAAGAACAAGGAGTCCTGGAAGTGATGGTTTGCCCCCCACAGAGCCCTGATCTCAACATCATCGAGTCTGTCTGGGACAGAAGGATCTGAGCGGCCTACATCCACAGGAGATCTGTGGTTAGCTCTCCAAGATGTTTGGAACAACCTACCTGCCGAGTTCCTTCAAGATCTGTGTGCAAGTGTACCTAGGATTGATGATGTTTTGAAGGCAAAGGGCAGTCGCACCAAATATTGATTTGATTTGGATTTCTCTTCTGTTTGCTCATTTTGCATTTGGTAAATTGATAAACAATTACAATATACATTTTTGAAAGCACTTACTTCACAGCATTTTTTCACACCTGCCTAAAACTTTTACACAGTACTGTATATGATTGCAATTTAAAGGAGAAGAACAATTGCCCACTTTGTTAGCTTCTTTTTAAGTCATATTTTGCACAGAATGTTTTTCTGTATGTTTGTTGGTGCAAGCTGTTGTTTCTAAGGGTTTTTTTTAATGTGATAAGTACTTCAGTGTATTCCACACCTTCAGAAATACAGATATTATATCCTCCTTTTTTAGAATTTCACTAATACTTTTCATTCATACTTTTTTAGAATTTCATTAATGCTGTTCATTAAAAATGTTCAGTTTGCTGTGAAGTGTTAAAAGAATATTAAGTAGAAATAACTATTTTTGCAATAGAATGGCATGCAGTTTCTATCAGTGTTTGATTTAAAATATATATTTAACTAGAGCAGTCACAATTTCCTTTTCAGAGCTGTAATTGGAGAAATAGATGAAGAAACAGATTCAGCCCTTGACTTGGGAAATATTCGAGCAGAACCTTTGAACTCAGTTGTACATTGAAAGAGAAAAGACAAGGACTGCTGTACAGAATTATTTATACAATGGCATGGCTCCTTTTTAAAGTTTATGTAATTTAGATCATTTATATTTCTTATTTTTTAACTGTTACAGCTTTATGTACATTAAAATATACATTTTATTATTGACTCATCAAGTATTTTAGAACCCCAAACATTACAATGGGAAAAAATAACTTTAAAATGCTATTATCTAGAAGAAAGTGTTATAGCTTAGAACATAGGAAAATGAAAATTCTAAATGTCTAAGGGACATTTTGCTGGGAAAAACGTTCAGAAACAGCAATGATTTTAAATTTTTATTAAATAGTCACATTACATACACTGCATAAATAATGAAAAATATTTTTAATTTATTTTTTACAGGACCACCAAAGGTGGTAAAAGGTTTCTTCTTGTCTTTTACATTTCTAGCAGGTGTTCGATATTCCTTTATACATTTTGGAGAGTTTATCTGGTGTCATATACCATCTATACATCATCTTATAGAAATTTTCTTTAAGATTATAACATACTGTAAATTTAAGACCCTTTGACCACATATTTTCCCATTGTTCAACTTGGATGTTATATTGGAATTTTTTTGTCCATTTTATCATTCAGTCCTTTACTAGTTCCTGTTTCCAATGTTAACAATAATTTACACATTTTAGTTATGAGATGGTCATCATTTAAACATAATTCAGTTTCAAATATAGTTTTGTCCCTTTCAAATTCATATAATTTCTTATCAACTTTAATCTTTCTGATAGTTGTATATATAGAAACCAATCGCACTTGAAGCCTTGTGAGGTCAGATCTTCTCTAGTTTTCAATCTAATATCCCCTTGGTGATATTCCAACAAATCCTTATATCTTATCCGATTTTAATTACCCGTTATCTCTTTTCTGTGATGAGCTTCTTGTGGAGATAACCACAGAGGTAGCTTGGGACATATTCTGGATTTATATTTGTTCCAAATTCTTAGGATGGCATGCTGAATATAATGATTTCTAAAGTCCACATTGGCCTTCACCATGTTATAACACAAGTAGGTGTGCTATCATTCTTCTAATGAAGGGAGACGTTTAAAATTGTGGTTTTTATGGAAGCTTCTTTCTTACTTTCAAAATTAATAGAATCTCCAGAAATTGGACAAACTATATCACTGAGCATTTTCTATCTAAATGACACAGATATCTATCTTGCAGCACCACCCCTGAAAAACTAAAAAAAACAAAACAAAGAAACAACAACCTGGAGGTAGATGATAATCACTAATTCAGGATATATAAAATGCTGCTAGTTCTTCTGTGATAACCAATTAAATCTTCAGTGCATTTTCGGCACTACTTCAAAATACAAATCGGAAGTCTCTTGGCACTACTGCTGGCATGGCATATTATCAGTATGGAATGCTTAATGCTGTACCTATGCAAAAGTGATTAATAACAGAAGTAGAAATTACCATGTTTATCAAATGTAATTGAAGGCATAAAATAACTACCAGAAAAGCAGAGTACCTGATGTGAAAATTAATTAAAAGACTACAAGCAGCAGATGTATGTAAATACTTCAGGAAAGGCTTTGGTTATAATTTACACACACCTACCAAACTTGAAAGGGTAACAGGCAGTTCTGTAAGACACAGGCTAGTATGAATTTGCTAAAGAAAAAATATGGCAGGGGAGGACGTATTATAAAGGTAAGGGGGACTACAGGACTATGAAGTATTTCTCCAAATACAAGTGCACTGTGCCTGATATGTGTCCTCTTGAAAAGTTATGCAACAAAGTCACATCTACAAGTTTGCAGAGTTTATTCAAATCATATAGTTTTTCTTTAAAACATCTAGATACTGCTGTGTCGCCTTGGAAACTTGATCTTGGTCTTTATTTGGGTTTTTTGAAGATCCATCAACTGATCCTACAGGGGAGACTCTAACAGATCCAGCATCAAGTTCAGCTTTAGCTGAAAAACAAGAATAACACATGCTTTTTAGAGGTTTCATAATAAAATATCTGATAACAAACACAATGGTATCAGAATGCCCATTTAGCTAGGACATTACAAAAACTATTTTTAAAAGTGCTTATTTTGCTATGGAAGAATAAAGCTGTTATGAGAACTTTCTAGTTACAGTATACACCTGTGCAAACACTGTGCACGTTACAGAAATAGGGACAACAGTTTTACCCCAAATTACCAATGTTACCTATATGGAATAAATCATACTGGAAAAGTAAAAGGGAATGCTTTGAAACTATATATAGTAGAAATCAGTGAGGTTACAAACTGCAATAAACTCAGTAATGTAGGCTTTCTGGAATGCTTTTAATGGAGAAATTTTCTGTGGTCCAAAAATTGGCATTATTGGTTATTTGATGAAAGCACTGAAAATTATGTGCTTCCTTGGGAGAAATGTTAAATTATCATTTTCCAATTTTTAGTTTAATTTTATCTTTATTAATGTTTCTAGTTAGTGAATAATTTCATTTGACTAATCCAAAATGAAACATGTATATAGATTGATTTAGACAATCTTTCCAATATGAAACAAAGTGGATATGTGCGTAAACAACTTGTAACTTAGGTTCAAATTCCATCCCAAAACTGAGTTTGTATGGATTACTTTATTAAAGTAATTCATCCATGGTAAATTAGCATGCTATTGTGTCTAAAATCAACAGAATAAATTACAGCTCACTTAGATTTTATTAATCTCAATGGAGCTAAAATTAACCTTTTATCTGTTGGATAGCTAGTTCTGAGTGTTTTTGAGTGAAGTATTTTTGCAGCTCTATAAAGCAATTGGTCATATTTTTTTATGCTCAAATATATCTAAAACTATTAAATATACAGACTGCTTCTTACTTATATTACTTTGTATATTATACATTAGACAATAATCCTATGGGGTAGATTAGTCTAATTATTTGTCAACAGATAATAATGGGTTTTATATTATGTTCATTAAAAAAAATTGCTAAAGTGTTTACTGTGTTTTAGAACATTTAGGTTCTAAAACATGCAACTGCTATGGTGCAGTGTCTCGAAATGGCAGTATTAGTATCATTTTCTGTAAAAAAACAAAGCAAAACAGCAGGATGAGTTTTAAATTGCCAGCATGTAGTTTGCTACTTACCTTGGTCCAGTTCTTTTGTGATACTTTTTTCTAATTCGATCTGCATCTGAAATTATATTTAGATTATGGTTGAAACATTACTAAATATAAAACAAAAATATAAACATAACTATCAGTTATGAGATATTTTAGCAAATTTCATATGGGTTCGTCTCTTACTTTTTTTTTCTTTAATATCCCAGCTTTCAACTAGTATTGACCAAAACTTTACTAGCATCTTATGACTTAGCACTGATGGCATAATAATATCCAATTAAAGATACACTTTGTAGGTAGCTTAAAATGCAAAATCAAAATGTTTTGAAGACTAAACTACAAATTGTGTGTGTACACACACACACACACACACACACAAAATCATAGATAACTAAGGACTAATGCAAACAGGCAATTTAAAAATATTAACTATGCAAGACTGTATATTTTTTACAGGTGGAGCTTCAACACTGATTGTGATTGCAATTTTTATGTACAATATGCGCTATAAAAATACACCCATGTATTTTTCTCGTTTGTATGTATGCTTTGCTATTTAGGGTTATATATCAGGATACATTCCGAAAAAGACAGACAGTAAAGCAATCTACAGAAGACTTTCTTAGTTTCTGGCAACACTTTTTCACACACTGATCATTTCACATGATTTCTCAGGATGAGGGAAATCCAGAATGATTTCACTCAGCTTAGAAACACTGGCAAATATCCTGCAAGGAGTAACAGAAGAGCCTGTGGAGGCAGTACTTGCCATGGAAGTGAAAAAAAGGGTTTGAAGTTCACCTTAGGGTTATTTTCACTATGCTGATTAGCTACTCTTCCATCAGCTGATATAATATGACATGTGCATTATTTTAATTGAAAATTGTGCAAAATAAAGTACTTTGTGCATAAAGTACTGTACTTTAAGGAGCTGCAGACTTTGTGCCTGATTGCACATTTAATAAAACTATATTGAAACCATCTGAATAGTAACTAGTATTTCTGGCCTATCTGGTGACTAAACAACCTGAGCACCAGATTTTCAAAGGAAGTTGGAATTCCAGGCCTAATATATTGTTTCTTAATGAATCAATCTGAGTCCAGTACAATATCTTTCTACTGGTGGCTGAAAACTAGGGAAATTGTTCAAGTAGTTATGAGAATATAAGCAACGCCCTGCTGGATTGGTCCATGGCCCATCTAGTCCAACAGTTTGTTCTCACAGTGGCGAACCAGCTGTGCAAGGAAGCCCACTAGTCTCCCAGCAGATGGTCTTCAGAGGCAGTACTGCCATCAAGGCTAATAGCCATTGATCCCCCATGACTTCCATGAATTGGTCCAACCCTTTTTTGAAGCCAGCCGTGCTGGTAGGCAGCACCACATCTCATAGTACCAGCACCATATTGTCAGTGAACAAGGCCTGTAATGGGTTAAATGAAGGTAAAGAAACTGCAGCTTAATCTAGATGAGAGAGGCAGATTAACTAAGAGGAACTTGATATATTGGATGTTGTTACTCAGTTTGAAGACAGACTCACAACTTGGGTCCAAGATTACCCACAGAATCTTAAAAACCAAGAGTGCACTTGCACAGCTAAGATTAGTGTACAAACTACATCATTCTGAAGATGTCTGAGCAGGTCATGATGAAACATACATTAGTCATATCCCATGTGGTCTTACTATAATGTACTCTATCTAATAAATAAGAATACTGATTATGACCTATAAAGTCTTACACATGGTGAGACAAAGCGAAGTGAAATGCTACATTCTTCTGCATTTGAATCTATCCAAACTATTAAAAACACTTCTGTCTTAGCATCATTACAAGCATATTTGGTTTAATGTGAGAACACGCCTTCTCAAGAGTTCTCCCAGGTTTTTGAATTCCCTGCTATCTTGCCTTTTATTATATTTCTGCCAGTAGACAAATATATTTTTATTTAGGCAAGTATTCTATATTTAGAGAGCCAGTTTGGTGTAGTGGTTAACACATCAGGTTAGTGACCACGAGTTCTAGTCCTGCCTTAGGCACAGAGCCAGCTGACTGACCTTGGACCAGTCTTTCTCTCTCAGCCCTAGGAAGGAGGCAGTGGCAAACCACTTCTGAAAACCTTGCCAAAAAAATTTCAGGGACCAGTCCAGGAGCCATCATTGATTCAAAGGCACAAATCTATGTATTCTATATTTAAGCTGCTTTGTCTATATGATCGGTTTTAATTAGTTAGGTGCTAGGTTTTGCTATTTTTATTTTATTATTAATAATTGTTAATCACACTGAAAGACAGTATGTAATTCTAATAAATACTTTCCCTGTTTTTTTTCCAATTTACAATAGTTCTTAGGCTCAGACTGCAATCTAATTCTGGTCTCTAGGGGAACACATACTAAAGATTAATATACTCTTGAAAAAGTTATTTATGATTACAATGCATGACAAAAAGGTTGCTTCTGAGCAGCTAGATTATGGGAATGAAAGAGAGAAAGCCTGTCGAGAAAGAAAAAGAAACCAAAATTTGCAGTCTGACTTAATGCTACGTACAAAACTGCTTCAGTCCTTAATAAATTGAACTGCTCAGTCTTG